AAAAAATAAACATTAAAAAAGTATTATGTATGGTGCAAGTCTAATATGTGCAGAACGCAAGTTCAAGCTATGCTAGATGCAAGTTAGATTTGTGTGGAGTGCAAGTCCAACCTGTGCATAAGTGCAAGTCTAATCTGTGCAGAGTGGAAGTCCAACATGTGCATGGTGCAAGTATGATTTGATTTGTGCGTGGTGCAAGTTTAACTTGTGCATGAGTGCAAGTTTAATATGTGCGGTATGCAATTCCAATCTATACGGAGCGCAAGTCCAATCTGTGTATGGGTGCAAATCCAACTTATGCACAAGTGCAAATTTGATCTGTGTAGGGTGCAATTACAACTTGTGCATGATTGCAAGTGTAATGAGGTGCAAGTTCGATCTATACAGTGTGCAAGTCCAATATTAAAATGATGAGTTTTTTTTTTTGATTTATTCACCAAACTATTTATTTTTATTTTTTTGAAGAAAAATAAAAAAAATTGAAAATTAAACCAAATTGTGCATAAAAAAATTAAAATAATATTTTAAAATATAAAATAAAAATAATTTAAGTGAGATACAAAAAATTATAAAAAAAAAATCACTAAAATAAAAAATAATAATAATCACTACAAATTAGACTAGCCTCATATACAAGTTAGACTTACAAATCGAACTTGCACCCTACATAGAATGGACTTGCACCCATGCACATGTTGGACTTGCACCCACACATATTGGAGTTGCACATATCTGACTTGCACCCATGTACAAATTGGACTGCACCCATGTATAGGTTGTAGTATTTTTTAATATTTATTTTTGTCACACTAATTTATATTTTAATTGATAAAAATAAATTAAAAAAATTATTTATAAATATAAAATGTTATTTTCATTCCAAAAAAGATAGAATCATTTGAAAATATTTTTTTAATATTATTTATGAGACTAATTTTTACTTTTTTAAAGAAAAAAATAGAAGAAAGAATTCAACCTAACATGGTGAATTAAATTTCTCATATCCTAATTTTTTTTTGCCTATTTTAATGCTAAAATATATGCTTTTTTTTTTGGTTAATTTTTAATGACATATTTTATTTGTATGGATTGAGTTATCATTTGTGTTAGTTTTTATTTTAAAAATATTACTCCATTTTTATTTGTTTTGTCTAAGTAATTATTTTTATTTGTATGTTTTGAGTTAATGTTTTCATTTGTATTTGTATTAGCAATTACTTTTTCTCTTACCAATATATATTTCAATTTAAAAAGTAAATTTAAAGTATTTTACTATTTATATTAACTTAAACCATACAAGTAATTTTAATTATATAAATTGTTATATATTTTGAATAATTAATTTATATTTTATTAAATATGTTAAATGTTAGTCGTATTTTAAAGATTTTATCGATATTTTTAGAATGGTATTAATTTTGTAAAAATAAATTTGTGTATAAAATATACAATATATTTTATTAAAATAAAATAAATTTATAAGTATAAAGATAAATTTTATTTGGACACTCTGCCTATAAATTCAATTTTAAATTTTTTTACTCAAAAATACTTTTCACTATAAAGACTTGTTTAGATGGAATGAAAAAAAATACTTACATATATATACATATATAGGGGTGTTTTGGAAACTCGGCTTTTAGTCACTTTTTTAGATTTGTAGCAAAAGTTAAAAGTTAACTTTTTGATATTTTTTTTCAGGACTTTTCTTAAGTGTGCCTTGCATATGGTATGCAAGGCATTTGTGACATTTCTATTTTGCATTTCCACCTTCTATGTATTGGGTTATACGACATTTTCTTGAAAGTTTACACATTGGTGACCTACTAAATGGGTCCCTTGCAGGTAAATTAATTAAATAATGTGAAAATATTTTCAAAAATGGGTGTAAACTTTTACAAAATGGTGTAAGGTATAAACTTTCAGTAAAAGGTGTAAACCTTCAAAAAATGGTGCAAGGGTTTTGATGAGAGGGTATAAGCTTTCAGAAATTGGTGTAACCTTTCACAAAATGGTGAAAGTATTTTGACGAAAAGGTATAGGTTTAAAAAAAAATTCAGAAAAGGTATAATGTTTCAGAAAAGTGTAACATTTAATTTAGTGTAAATTTTATCGACAAATAAGAGTTTAGTCGCTAAAGGTTTGAAATTTTATTACCATCGGCCCCCCTCTTCTCTGTTTCCCACCAACACCTTCTCTGTTCTCTCTCACACGCACACAGAATAGTCACCACCAATCCTGACCCCCTCTAACCACCCAAGCGTCAGTGGCCTCCGGTACTCACTGCCGTTTGACATCGCCACCTCCACGGCGATCGCTACGGCCACCGCCACCGCCACTGCCGCAGATCAAAGGTTTTTTTCTCTCTTGCTATCGATCTTGGTCTCTCTCTGTCGATCCCCATCGGCCTATTCTCCGTCGATGTCGGCCTATTCTTCGTCGATGTTGGTCTCTCTCTGTCGATTCTTGTCTATCTCAGTCAGTCTCCAGCGATCTTGGTCTGTCTGTGTTATTTTTTTTTTATTAAAAAAAAACTGTAATATTTATTAGCTTCTCCCAACACGCAAGTCTTACCCTCATAATAACACTTTAATGCATTAAGAACAAGCATAAAAAAAATCAAAAATGCTAGAGGCCCCAAAAATTCTACCAAAAATTTTACCAAATATTATGTGGGTCCCACACCCATGTGAGACATTTGGTAAAACTTTTGGGAGAATATTTGGGGTCTCTAGCATTACTCAAAAAAAATTCATTGAAAAGTCCAACACATATGAATTTCTTGAAAACTCCCAACACATATGATTATTATCCCTCATAATAATACTTTAGTGAATTAAGAACAACCATAAAAAAAATTTCGGTCCAGCTTGTCTCAAGTTGAGATCAAGACTGGACCCGTCTAGTCCGGCCCATAGGGCCCATTTTTGGGCCCTTTTTGATAATCTGAACCGATCAATGTGTAGAACTCGTCGAGTACTATATGCTTGTAAAAAATCACGTTGATTGGATATCAATAGCTATGTGATCAAATCAGTTTTGTATAAAAAAAAATGGACGGTAAAAAAATTAATGGTTGATAAAAAACTGTTTTGTTCACATAGCTATCGATATCCGATCAACGTGATTTTTTACAAGCATATAGTACTCGACGAGTTCTACACATTGAATGGTTCGGATTATCAAAACGGGACCCGTGGTGAGCTCTTACGGGCCCAACAGCACGATTCAGTCCGATCTTGAACTGGACCAAAGTCACTGCCAAAAAATTTCTTGAAAAGTTTAACACATGAATTCCTTGAAATTTCATTAAAGGACCAAATGTAGGTAATCATATTCAAGAAACTTGAAAAATCTTTGAAGGACCAAGAATAGTCCAGCTCTGACTTTTTGGGGACCCAAAGGGAATTTTTAATACGGGGCCTTTATGCATATTTAAAAAAAAAAAAATTATGTGCCTAATTTTTTTTAGGGGTATTTGACAATATTTGTAAAAAGCTTACTTTCAGTATATATATCTATTAAAATTTACTTAAATATATGTTAAAGTTTACAATGAGAAAAATGACCAAAAGAATCTAAAATGAAGTATTAAATAAAAAGTAAACAAAATGTAACAAAAATCACTTAAATATCATTCTTTGGGCATTTTTAACCATAAAATTACTAATCTAGTTTGCTTAATCCAACTTATAAGCTAAATCATTTTCGATGGATAAAATTGCTAGTTCATTTAATTTTTCATTTGGCATAGTTGAGTAAATGTAAGATTTAATCAACTTTAATTTGAAAAGTGTAACAGCAAGTAATAAAATTAATCATATTCTATATAGAATCCACACATTTGGACAATAACCATTCAATAATTTCAAACAATTCACCACATCAATTAGTTTTAAATCATAATTGAATTTTTGGGCCTTTTTTTTTAGTTAATTTTCCGAGGCCCAAAGCGGTGGCTTTCCCAGCTTGTACCCAAAGCCAACCTTGACCAAGAATCAGAAAAGTTGAGTTACAGAAAGGTTAGGGCTCCAACTAGAGTTGTACATGACTTGAGTCAAGCACATTAATAAGTTGTTTAAATTTGGCTTGAACACTTAACGAGCTCCAAAATATATTCAAGCTTGGCTTGTTCATATAATGAGTTGATCTCAAGTGAGTTTTTAACAAATTGAACACATGTCGAGCTCGAATAGCTTGATTGTTTATAACGTATGTATGTTTATCTAGTCAAGTAGTAGATTGTTCAAATTTATCTTAAAAACTTAATGAGTTAAAAATTATCTATAAACTTAACTTGTTTACATACCAAGTCAACCTCAAATGATCTTTTAATGAGTCAAATTGAAATAACTTGTCTCATTTAACCGCCATAGCTCTAAGGGGATTTCTCTATATTGTTTAAGGGCAAAGCCAGGGCCGGCCCTGAGGTGAGGCCACTAAGGCGGTCGCTTCGGGCCCCCAATTTTGAACAAAATTTAGGGTCCCTAATTAGGGAAGTGTGTCATGTCGTGTTATTTCATAATTACTTTAAAATTAGTTCAATTCATTTATTTTCATTATGTTGTATGGTGTTATTTTGATTCGTGTCCGATTGATATTTAATGTGAAAACTTTTACTTTTAGTTAAAAATAACTTAGCAAGTGTATGAAGAGATTAAAATTTTTCCCATAAGTTGAATTTTATAAAATTTATTTCTACTAAATGAAATTATTCATAGAATGTTTGATTTTAATTCAATTGCATTTTTCTAATTAAAAAATTGTACCTTATTACTATATATTTTTTATTAGATTGACTCTAAAATAGGTAACAAAAAAATACATATCTTAACTGAAAAAAGATATTAGCCTTAATTATTATTTTACATAATTATTTTACATATTACATAGAGTTAAATAAAAGATTAAAAAAATATCATCAGTTTCTTCTATTCCCAAATTACATGACTTCTTTTCGATCTCCAATATCAAATCATGACGCATTCTAATCCATATCTTTACTCTGGACTGTTTCCATCATCAACCCAACCACAAGAAAAACCCAGTACAGAGAAACAATTTGGATTCGTTTTAACCAATTTTCTCTGGATTGTAAAGACACTATTATTTTATGAAATCTAGAGAAATTCCCAAATATTTGTGAAATAGAGTCAGAGAAAATTTCAAACCTCAATTGAGTGTCGTGGTTCTTCTTCTAAATCTAACTGCTTTTTAATTGTCAAATTTTCCTCCCCTGAATCAAGAATTGGGAATGCGAAATTCTCTCCACCTCTCAGGCCTGATTCTAATTGCTTCGTTCCATCAAACACAACTGGATTCACAGACCGAAGGGATTCTTTTTTCAGCCCTTTCCTATGAGCCTCACTGACGTGAACTGACTTTTTATCCAAACACGGTCCATTGCAGCCAAAAAAACCAGCAAAAATTCTCTTTCCAACAGATTTCTTTTGCTTGTTTCGTCTGCACGGAAGCCTTAGGATCTATATTCGTGTCTAATGAGCTCAAACCTAGGGTTTCCAAAATGGTGCATCATGTTCTCTTTCCGACCCGTGAAGAAATTATCAACGACGATACATATATATATATATATATATATTTTGGGGGGGTTCTGATTTTGTAGTAATTTTGGGCGGTCCAAAGTGATTGCAAATTTGTTAAGATTATGTTTTTTTGGGTGAATTTGTTAAGATTATGTTATTCTTAATATAATAGGTGACAGAAGCACATTTGTATGACATTACAGCAAAAATATGTGACACACATACATAGAGACACTACAAAAAAAGTCACTTTTAGCGACTAAAATATTGGTCACCATTGTCTATTTTTTGTTCGCCAATGACATTTTGCGACTAAAAATTGTGGTCGCTACGTTTGTGGCCAAAACCTTGTCGGGAAAGGTCTTAGAGGGTTTTGCCGACCAAAAAACATTTGGTCAGCAAAAAGCAAGTTTTTAGCGACCAAAATTTTAGTCGCCAAATAGTCAATTATATTTCTTTAAAATTGTACATTTACCGACCAATGTTTTAGTCACCAATAGTCAAGGAATCGCCGACCAACACCTTTGGTCGCCAAAAGCAACCAATCGCCAACCAACACCTTTAGTCGCCAAAAGCTTCAAACATGAAAAAAAATAATAATAATTTGTTGTAGAACAGTTTGATCCACTCTTGCGAAGACTCGAACCGCCAACCTCTCGCACCATAAACCTTATGCACCACATTCTTCCCACTACGCCTCTATAGCACCACATGATTATATATGTGGCATATATTATTTATATAGTACATACATCCATATTAATATAAAAGTATATGTATAAACATAATAATTTTATTGAACATAATTTATGTAAAATAAACTATTTAGTAGCAAAATAAAAAAAGACTACTTTTGGCGACTAAACATATTTTTTAGTTGCCAATTCTATACTTTCAGCTACTAATTGTTTTTTAGTCGCTAAAAAACTTAACTTTTGCCGACCAAAATCGTATTTGGTCGCCAAAGATGCACTTTCAGCTACCAAAATTTTGATCGCCAAAAAATTTAATTCCCGCCTTAGGATTTTAGTTCTCCCGCACTAAAAATGACCACTTTTGGCAACTAAACTTATTTTTTTGTCGCCAATTGTGGACTTTTGGCTACTAAAATTTTTTTAGTCACCGAAAAGCTTTACTTTTGGCTACCAAAATTTTTTTAGTCGGTAAAATCCATAAAATCATCGACCAAACTTATTTTTATTCGCCAATTGTATACTTTTGGCTACTAAATTTTTTTAGTCGCCAAAAAGCTTTACTTTGGGCTACTAAAAATTTTTTAGTCACTAAAACCCATATAATCAGTGACCAAACTTAGTTTTAGTCGCTAATTGTAGACTTTTGGCTTCTAAAATTTTTTAGTCGCCAAAAAGCTTTACTTTTGGCTACTTTCAGCGACCAAATTTTTTTTAGTCGAGAAATTTGGTCGCCGAATGTGCTTTTTCCTGTAGTGAGAGATCCAAGAGCCAAATAGCACAAGATCCTTGAAAATGCCAACCTAGGTACAAGAGTGAGATAGAACAATAGAAACAAAGCACTAACCAAACTAAGTGCTTCAGAAGATAACACATACATAGAGACACCTGTGTGCACAGCCAAAAACAAATCTGTCAAACACTTTGGTTTTGAGGAGTTGCCTTTTGATCTTATTCAACTTGCCAAGTACTTCTTTAATTTGAATTCTCTCTTCTACTAATTCTGTGCTACACTCCAAACCCAACGCCAAAATAGCAATAAGATTGTTTTGGGTAGCAACCATGTCTCCTTCATTTTGTGTCCTCAATAATCCACTATCCACTACTTCCATAACTTCATCAGGAAGCCATGTGCTCACCCATTGCTTTAAACTCCTCTCTTCGGTGCACATTTCATCTATCGGTTTCTTTCTTGTAAATGTCTCCAAAAGCATTATCCCATAACTATACATATCACCGCTTGTCGACACTCTTCCTTCAGAGCCATACTCTGTCAAAAAAAATTTAAAGAAACATATCTACATGTATTTACTGAAGGAAAAGTAAAATATAAGTGATTAAAACATTTACCTGGTGCAATGTAGCCAAGTGTGCCTAAAGTGTTGGTTTGTGTTGTAGTTTTGTTTTCGGCTAAAGTTTTTGCAATTCTGAAGTCAGCAACATGTGCAATCATATCTTCGTCTAGAAGGACATTGCTAGGTTTCAAATCACAGTGAACCACAGGCTCTGATTGACCATCATGGAGATATTCCAAAGCTATGATACTCACCCTTTGAAAGAGATTAAGACAATAGTTATGAGAATATAACCACTTATCAAGGCTTCCATTAGACATGAATTGCAAAACCAAAGCTCTTAACTCAAGGTTTGAGCATATAGTTACGACTATAACAAGATTTCTATGATGCGTTGTTCGCAATACTTCACACTCTGTATCGAAACTTCTAAAAGCTCCCTCAACTTGCAAGTTTAGAATTTTAATAGCGACGATTGTCCTATCTGACAGTACGCCTTGGTATACAGAACCATAGCTTCCTTCTCCAAGCAAGTTGGCTTCACAGAAGTCAGTTGTTGTTCTCTGGAGCTCCTGATATGATATCTTTTTATGCTCTATTTTTGCAAATAAATCATTTGAATGCTAACTACAAACATTCTTTCTGCGATGCCTTTTCACAATCCATAGAAGAGAAGAAAATATTACTAGCAATGCAATGGCGGGAACAATGTATCAAAGTAGAACATCTTTTGTCCTCAACCTTTGGGAACTTTAGTTTGTGCACGGTCGTACTTGGAAAATTGGGTTGCCACAAAGTTCTTCATTCTCTATGAAAGAAAGTGCTATGAGATTTGTGAATGGTCCTTTACTTGGAATCTCCCTTGATAGCTTATTGCAAGATAAATTTAAGAATTCAAGATGTGAAAGTGCCTTGAGAGACTTGGGTATTGGTCCAAACAAATTGTTGAGAGAAAGATCCAAGAAATCTAATGTTAATGAATTCCTTGACAGGATTGGAGAAGTTAGGCTTTGGAAGGACCCAATAATTCTTGGAATGTTTCCCGAGATTCAATTCCAAGATAAATCCATGCTTTCCAATACTTTAAGGGCTTTGTGTGGATCTAGGCTTCCATTTAATGAATTGAATGATAAATTCAAGAGCCTCAGATTCTCAAGGTTCCATAAACTCGATGGTATTAAGGTCAGTTTATTGGAACTAATGGCCATCACTTGCAAACTACTAGGCTTTGTTATGCAACTCGGAATCGATCCAGAAAGCTTATTTTCCTGGAGATAAATTTCTCCCAAGTTTCTCAAAAGGGAAAGCTCACTTGGAATCGATTCGTGAAAGTTGTTAGTACTCAAATGTAATCTTTGAAGTCTCTCTATTCCTCAAATAGTTGAAGGGATGTTCCCATTTAGATTGCTTCCTGCTAACGAAAGTTCATTCAAATTTCTCAAAGAACCAATCTCTTTAGGAATTTGATCCATTAATTGGCATTCGGATACATCAAGCACTTGCAAGGACATCGAAAAATTCCCAATAGAATTGGGTATTGTGCCACTAAATTTATTTTGTCCTACCCACAATTTTTGCAAGGAAGTGCAGTTTGTCAAAGCTGTGAGAAAACTAAGTTGGGTACTTCCTGGTTCAATTGTCAGTTGATTCTCATCCAAGCTCAACCTTTAAATGAGTTTTAGATTGCCTAAACTCTTGGGTATTGGTCCAGTAAATAAGTTAGCACCTAGAAATAACCAAGTAAGCTTAGAAGAATTGACAAATATAAAGGGATTTCTCCAACTAATTGATTGACTTGTAATCCAAGGATTTCAAGATTAGGAAGCCATAGCCCTATAGTGGTTGGAAGATTTCCAGAAAGGGCATTAAGATTCAAGTTAATTTCAATCATTGAAGACTTGCTAAAAATTGCACGAGGTATTGAACCCGTGAGATGATTGGCTTCACAGTATAATCCATTTAGATTTGGCAGTAGTGATAGTTCAATTGGAATGTTTCCATAAATGTTGTTTAATTCTACTCCAAACCATTCTAAGCTAGTAGTGTTGCCAAAGAAAGGTGGAATGGTACCTTGTAGGTTGTTTTGCTCGAGAAACAGAGTACGCAGAAAGGGTAGTGTACTCAAATCTTTTGGTATGTGGCCACCTAAATTATTTGCTGCAAGAGATATAACTTGAAGCTTTTTAACACCGGTGTAACCCCACAGGGATGCTTCTTTCCAACATGTTGTGTTGTACTGTGAGTTTTTCCAAACGACGCAAACGTTCAAATTCATTTGTCTGATGACCATGAAAGCTGTTATTACGGATATCGAGCACTTGGAGGAAGGAAAGGTTTCCAATATGAGGAGATATGGTGCCTCGGAGACCCATGTTGCAAAGGCGCAAACTTGTGACTCTTTGCCATCGTCGGCTACATAAGATCCCAACCCAATCACAGAAGTTGGTTTCTTTGGTCCAATTGCTCAAAACATTGTTGGGATCAAAAGTTGATTGAGGACTTGAAGGCTAGGAGAGCCAATTGATCAGTGTAGTTCAAGGCACAAATGGCCAACTCAAACATGCATGAGTGCACTACCAGAGCTCCCAAAAGGGAAGCAACGTAAAGCCTCTTCATGGACATGACTATTAGGTGGAGTAGGGGACGTTAAGCTAGTGAAAGTGTATGATCTCTAATACAAGAACATTTTTCATGATACCATTGCTTTGAATATATATATTTTTTGTGCAAGTTGATCTTTTAGGGACAATTACATAAAAATAAAAAATAAAAACCCGAGCTTTCTAACAAAATAAATCTTGAATTTTTAATTTTATCAATTTAAGTTCTAATTTTTTGATTTGTTTTCAATCTAAATCATTCGTCTATTTGTCTATTTTTGTTAAGTAAAACCAATTAAAAAACCGTATTGTAGTTAGGGGCGTGCGTGGTGTGATTCAGGCTGTTTGAGAATACAATTACAAACAGAATGGCGGGTTAGCGGATTAGCGGATTGACAAATTGCAGTTTGAGTGGTTTTTGGCGGATTGGCGAATTGACGAATATTCTAACTAATTATCATACGCATAATATATAACACTAATTTGTATAATATTTTTTAGATATATATAACACAAAGTAATTTTACATAAATTTCATAACTTAAATCTCTCTTACACTCATTTTTACATTGATATTTTATTGGAAATTAAAAAATATATATGTATTAACTTTAGCGGAGCAGAACGATTCGGTTGACGGATTATAAATTTTAAAGTTTAACCCGCGGTTAGAGGTTAGAGCGGTGCGGATTGATGCAGATCGGTATGGCTTTAATGAATTGGACAGTATTTTGCACAACCCTATTTGTAGTTATTAAACTCAATGTAGATATACATAAAATGTTTAAAATACCCTTTTTCATTGAGTTTAATGACTAAAATGTCCTGTTTTTCATTAGTTTTATTTAACAGAAATAAACAAATGGTTTAGATTAAAAATAAATAAAAAATTTAGGGTTTAAATTGATAAAATTAAAAATTTATTTTGTTATAAGGGTTAAATCCTGGAGTTTTTTTTTTCCTTCTAATTTCTTCTATATTTTATGAATAGAAAATGATATATAAGTCCACTTTTTAGACCTATTTTATAGACTCAATGATGTGTAAGTGATATGACTTATTAATGATTAGAGAAGATATGAAAGAGAGTATCATAACTCAATTACATTCATAACTAAAAAAACAAAAAATTAGTTATAACCAAACATTGGTATAACTAAAGAGCCTTTAGATCATAATTAAATAATGTCATAACTTACTCACAATGAGTCATAATTGTTATAACCACACACCACAAAGATCGTAACCAAATATGTATGTGTATTGAATGTCCCTTTGTAGTTTGATCGATTGTCTCCATAATGGGGAAGTTTTGGATCTCCTATTTGTGTAGGAATTTGTAGGCTGAAAGAAATATGGAAGGAAAAAATGAGAAATAAAAAACTAAAATGAAAGTTACTAATTATTGTAATATGTGACGAACGTTATTGTTATATTATGAATGAGACGGTGTTAATGTTGCCTAATGGCGACATGGTGCTTCAAGATATTATGATTAGTAGAGAAGATAAGTCTATAATTTTGTGTGAGGAACATAAAAAATATAATATATGATGATTAATCCTAAAACATAAACACGTAACGTTTCAGAAATATTAAATAGTTTTTCACACCAACCCTTGGAATTGGCTTTTAATTCACTTCAATGACTTCATAAATGCCAAGCCGGTCAAGCCATCAACTTCCAAGGAAATAAAGAGTTGGAATTAACTTCACAGTCTTCATATGACTTCTAACTTATGGTTGCCAATGAAACGATCGTCAATTCAAATTTGGTGCATTACAACTCATTTGAGCTAGATTGATTGCATATGTAAGCCAACCTCGATCATCAATTCAAGTTCAATTAACAAATGTTTTAAGCTCGAGTTAAAATAACTTCAAGCTTATAAAACTTGGCTTGATTATTATATATATGTATAAATAATAATATAAAATAGTATTTTATGCACATATAAAATGTCTTATATATGTATATATTAATATAAAATAATATTTATAATTTATATGACAATTTCATTTTCGTTATAAATTCAAGTTTCTTTGAACTTGATTAATATTTAAATTTAACCAATTGAGTTCAAGTTTTTTCAATATATTTAATTTCAAACATGAACTCAAGCTCAAGTTTAAATAAATCCAATTATTTAAATGAGTTGAGCTCAAACACTATTCCACAGTTCAATTTAATTCGATTCATTCATGAATCATGATCCTACCTCTCCTCACTCCTTTGAGATAAGGGCTTCCACACCCCACACACACACACAAAATAAAAAAAAATAAAAAAAAAGTCCCAATATAATAAAGTCTATCAAGCACTAAAGATGCCTTGATGGAACTTACCGTACATACCATTGGAAGGGAATGATACCTTGTTTTTTTATTTTTTCTTCTGAAAATTAAGTTTTTATTTTTTTGTATTTTTTTTACTTTTAGTGAACAATTTTAAATATTTTATGTAATTTTTTTTAAATACATCTAATTTAAATACATTTAAAAGGTATAATATTTATGAAAAAAATATTTACAAAATTCACTAAGTACAAAAAAAAAATGAAAACTTTTGTATTTTTATGTATTTATTGATTTTTTTTGATATTTTTTTCACAAATTTTTTTTTTTATGTGGATCTAAATTAGGTGTATCTTTAAAAAAAATAAAAAATGAAAAACTTCAAATATTAAAAAAAATTTACTAAAAAATAAAAAAAAACTCAATTATTAAGAAAGGATCTAAGGTGGTGTTGGAAAATTGAAAATTAGAAACTGAAAAATAAGTATTGAAAACTGAGTGATGAATTTTTTAAGTTGAAAAGCAGTTTGATAAAAATTTAAGTGCTAAATTAAAACAAATGGGTTTTGATTTTACTTCTTTCTTTGATTTATTTATCCATGAGGATGTCCTTTATAGAAATTCAAGAAAACATGATTTTGGTTGGGTTTTGTCATGAAATGAGAAAGGATTGGGTTTTTGATGAAACCCTAGAAATTGGGGGTTTTTTTTGAAAATATGAGAATAACCATGAAATTCCTTCTTTCTTGTGTTTAAATGAGTTAATGGGTGTGGACTTCACAATGTGTCATAAAGAAATGATACTTTTCTAGATGAAAGAGAATGGAAGACTTTTTAAAGACTAATGTTGAATACATGGATATATTTAAGTGTAAGATGACAATTGTTGTGTACTATGGAAGTGTGAAAATCATAAGTATTGGAATTAATATTTGAAAACATTACATGTAGTCTTGATGAGACAATGTTGCTAAGAATTGTGAAAGTGAAATTGTGGCTAAGTGTAGATAACATATGGTTATCTTGGGGAAGAGCACTGAAAAGAGGTAATGAGAATAATGGTTGCTGGGATTATTGTAGAGACTTTGAGAATGGAGACATGTTATGAGATATGAGAAATCATCGCATTGCATACTCACTCATGTTATTATTAATTTTGCATTGTAAATTTCGATTGAAGAGAATTGTTTCATGAAAGAACATAATAATGCAATGAGAACTATGGTAATGTAAAAAGGGTAAATACGTGGTAAGTCCGGATAGGGGGTGTAGTTGAACTTGATAAGTTGGCTTGAGTGTCCATGGTGAAAGACCAGAAACCCGCGCGGATGGGTGTCGAGCCTTCCGGTTAATACCGGTAAAAATGACAGTTTGGTAGTACTTGTAGAGTCTACTTGCAGACACCAGCCTAGGGATAGTGTCGTATTTATCGCCCCTATTGAATTAATATTGGAAGTTTTAAATTGATGAGATTATAAGATGATATTGAGAACATGGTGATTTTGAAATAGTGCATTAAAATGAATATTTTCCTCACCTATTAATCTTGGCATGGCATTGCATTTACGACTTTTTGCTTGTTGAGGAAAAATGCATAATTGTATATACTTTGTGAGAATTCTCTACTGGGCTTTATGCTCACCCCTATAGGATTTGGTGCAGGTAAAGATGTGGTAATCCCGCCGAGTTGATGGCATGGACGTGATGGTGAAGAGTACTTTGCTCTAAAATTTTTTGTGTAAATTTTTTGTAAAGCCAAGGGCTAATGTGTATGGGTCCGAGAGACCATTTTGTGTAACCGGGCTATTGCCTTGGAACTTGTAAGCCCTTTAGGGCCTTATTCGTTTTGATTTGATGATTTTACATGCTATAGATTCATGTACTAGTTTATCAATGAATGTGTAACTGCATGTGAGATTGTTTTGTAAAAGATTTGATCTTATGTAAAGGGATATGGTTAATATTTTATGTTGGAAGTGGGTTGATGTAATAGTCATGTGGGTAGTTCATGTTGAATTATTTCGGGGCATGACAATTTGGTATCAGAGCTACCGGGTTTGAATACTTGGGGCTCGTGGGTTCGATTCGCATGATTAGGATTTGTTTGCTTATTTGTGATTATGTGAATGCATTTTTACGTGACTATGTGGGTATTGGATTAGACTTTGGAGATGTTATTTGCGCCTATTAGTTTCCTTGAGGTCTTATTAGAAGGATACTTGATCAATACTCATTCTACTAAGAATTCTTGGTTTCTCATGGGACGAATCTCATCACTAAAGGATAATTTGTATGTGTTTATGTGACTACTTGCTTATGTGGAGTGAATTAAATTGTTGTGTGATAGAGTATGTGTAAATTGTTATAGTTTAACGTGTGA